CTAACCGCAAAGACTCCGATTTTGTGCTTCGCACATGGGAGTCAATAATATCTCAATATTCAAGAAAGAAACAGTATTTCTGTGAAGATAGCAGGAGCGTATCCAACATCGTGTTTACATCGCCTGACTCCTAAGTTACACGGCGTGTGGTATATGAATACTAATTAGGACAGTTTGCACGCCACAAAACAGCTTAAAAAGGGAGGCGCAATCACACTGTAGTAAGTATCTCTCTACATTCAGTGTGATTTTCAGAACATTTGGTGTCTTACATGACATGAAAACCATATATTGATTTCTGTATACGCCGAAAACATTGATCAAAACCATGGCTCAAAAATGTCATTAACAACATTTCTTAATACAACACTTGAAACCATGCACAAGTTACATATAAAGTAATTAATTAAACCATAATATTTTGTTTTAATTGCCGTAAAATCAACAAATTTTTTGTAGTAATGAATTATTCATTTATTTAAATGAGGACATAATGCAACCAATCGTGTCATGCAACTCACCGCCTGCACCAACATCAGTTTTTACATCTGTTTTAAGCCCCCATCAAAGAGACTTAAACTCCCTAACTTAATCCCCCAAAGTGTTCACATCTGTTTTATCTTACACTGCTGTAAATCACCCTTACATGAAGGAACACAAAAAACAGATGTGAACATGATAATGTACAGTCATACTCCAAGGACAATTGCATAAGTATTATATAAGTATTACTCAACTTCCATGACATACTTATATTGATGGAACACAGGCTACATGTACCAGTACATATTGAAACTGGATGACATTATTCAGTTGGTTGCCAAAAACCTAATTAGACCAGTGAAAATGCACAGAATGTAATAATAATAAAATTGAAGATGAGATTCATTTTATCACATCATGCAAACTACATGTATATACTGGTACTGAATCCAGATATATAATGTATTTATTTTTCTGAAAATCAGACAATAACTGAGAAGTTATCAATAAACTACAGTACACATAAGCAACACACTCTTTTTGGATAAACCATGGAGCTCCATGGATAAACTAACTGACTATACAAAAACAGCAACATCAATAAGGGAGATACAATAAGGAACCATTCCTTGACTGACTTTTCATTGTTAAACCTTTACATTTTGAAATAAAAACTTTATTACATTTTTTTACCAAACTAGAAATGTACTGGTGTTTCTTTACAATAGTAATTATATCAAGCCTTTTTACCTGGCAACAAATACTTGGAATTCATACATTACATGACAAAAAAGGAATAAAGTTCCAGTTAACTAAATCATGCATGATTTTACATTAACTGCAAAAATGCTGGTTGACCCAAGGTTGACCAGACACATTTTTACACTCCTTTTCTTGAAATAAAATACTAATGGCCCAGTCACTGGGTACAGGCAGTTGTCTGCAATTTAATGAACACCTTATGAAGCAGACATCGTCTAATGGTGTTCCTGTCTAAACTTTTTTACCCTTTGTGTGCCTAAGTCAACTTCAGACACACTATAGGTCAGTTTATTGTATGCACTTTTCCACATAAAACTAGAAGCAAAGTCACATTTTGTTTTGGGGTCCAAAATTAAAATTGAATTCAGTGAAAATAACAGAAAATGCGACTAAATTTATGTTGGAATAAAAAGTTAGGGCTCAAAGGTTTAAAGAAACAAGCCAGGAATTGACCCATAGTGCAGATATGTACAATTTCAACCTCAATACTTTAAGCAAAGACAGACAGCAGACACTCGTTACCTTTAATAATCAGTGAAACCTGATTTCAAATAATTAGTATACTGCCCCGTATTATATTTCTACGAAATACACTAAGAGGATTGATTTATCAAAGAAAGGTAACTAACAATCCTGTGGGACTTGGTGACTCCCGGGGTGAAACTAAAACAAGAACTCTATGCTCCGACTGATGTTACTAATTTGTTGGCAATAACATATCGCGTTGATATTATTTTCATGGTAGACAGGTGAAGCTGCTATAATTATCTTCAGTTTAATTCAATTTAAAGTCTGTTTTCGTGAAGCTGACTTATGAACGGATATAGTGCCTGAGTGAATCAAAAATTGTTGACAAATTGCAGAGCACAGTTGTTTATGTCGCCGACTGGGCACGACGCGATTATAGTAACAGCTCAATCTATGTAGATGGTCAAGGTCACGCGGGCGACTGCGATCGACACAGTCTTTAAGAGAGTCGTTCACGTTTACGGTTTAATCTCAAGATATTTTGTAAAGTTGACAGTGGAACAAAACTCCTTGTCAAACACGTTTACTCAAAGACGACGACATCCGATCTCATCATGCCATGCTATGGCAAAAGAACTTACCAGAATTACATCTGAACTCCTCTGGAAGAAGAAAAATCTTCATTAATTAACCCAAGCCATAAAAAGAAATGTAGGAGATAGACGATGAAACACCAGAAGCGTTCCCTTATTAGCACGATGCGAATCTATGAACAGGAAGATATCCAACACACAATCTCTGTTGACCCCGTGTGAGTGATCCTCATTTGCATATACAAACGTTGTTGAGGTTCAAAGTTCAAAACAAGAATAAATGTAATGTACGGTAATGGGGACCAAGTTATTCCTTATACTTATTGCTTCTTCTATTTTTGTGACATGTTTCTATCAAATCTCGTCTGTGTTTTCGAAACATTCGGCAACCACGACTTGACGACTAAAAACGCAATCTGTACACGTTGTTTTGGTTTTCTTTACAATGATAACATTAGAACATTTATAGCTACGTGTTCGATAATTTAAGTAAAATCAAGGTCTGTTATTTGTTTTATCTTGCTGAAATAAATTACGATACATTCATATTACATTTATTATAACCTTACTCAAACACACATTGGTTAAATTATATTATATACTATGGCCTTTTTTTAAGACTCCTGTTTCACTCGTGCTGTAAATAGTGGAATTGAATCAGTCTTGCAGCTATGGAGGAATCAAGTTCTGCTTGTGGAAGGCTTCAGTTTCAGCGGGTATTCTTTGCCAAAATATCAGCGAAGTACAGGAATTACTGTAAAACATACAGACAATGGGTGGGCAAAAACCCAGAAGTCGCATCCCAGATCGAACACACAGTCAAAATCGTATCTTACTTGATTGCAGGTAAAATTGTAAGCTCTAAGTTTTCATTCCTCCATCATCACCCGGCAACTCTATAGTTTCGAAATAATGATAACAATGATCAACTATTTTTCGCACCTGATTGCTAGAAATGTATTATGTACATTACTTGAAGAAAAATCAATACTTCAATGGATTTAATCTTTGGCAGATGAGATCTAGATATATACACATGACTATTATAGCCCTTCGAAGACAGGGTCCAGGCTTAAGCTTCCTTGGGGGCTGTAGGAAAGCTCCTACTATAACAGTGCTGAACTCAAATTATTAGGATTACTAACGCAAATCTGTTTAATGTTTATTCCAGTGTCCTTCTATATTTGTAAAGCGAGCATCGTATATTATTTTTTGCATTTTTAAATATTCTTTGATATAAGGATTTGTAAGATGAAGGTATGCAAGGGTGTGATAAGCATGCAATGAAAATCACATGCAAATTAAAAAAAAAGTCACACGAATTGTAATATGATTTCAAAATATGAACACAAAACTAGTTAGTCTGTGAATGAACTCGTTCATTTTCATCTCGGACTATTTTTGGTACCAATAGTGTCCTGGCTTATTTGCAAGGCCTGTATTACATGTATTTTTGGTTTTTGTATGTGGCACCCTATGATATTTGATTAGCTATGATATTTGATTAATGCACATTGAATAGCGTTGTTTTAAATTGCTCACACAGCACAAAGAGTTTGCATGAAGAGTTTTTCTTCTTATGAGATCTTCATCGCATATCCGTGTACATAGTTATGAAATTTGCATACCCACTTTCCAGAATTACTGTATCCATGGTATTCTGGGATGCTATTTGTCAGAACAAATAATTTGATTACTATGGATTAAATGGAAATATTGTTTTCATAGCCTTACAAAGGGTGTAATTGGGTTTGCATAATGCATTTGGGATCTGTATCCCATGTCACCAATTATAGTTGCATTTACTTCCAGGCATACACCATCTACATTGTATGTTTTAGTTTATGTATATCTGTAGATGATTTCACCTTCTAATTGTATTTGCAGGAATAATTGCATGTATTTGATGATCTAAGATCTAGATCATATCAAAAATAAATGTATTCCCATGTAGGGTTCAAAATTCACAGCAATTACCTAGATGCTCTTTTAAATAATCAAACATTTCCTTTATAACTCCAGTCATTTGAGGTCAAGTTATTGATAATAGATAGCCTTAGAGAGAAAAAATGGAAACACTGAAATCACCTGAGCTGCTTCAAAATAAGTTCCTCACACACACATCAGTAAAGTAAATCATGTTTTTTCTACAGGAACAATTTTCATAGCTAAGTTACTTATATTTTGTAATATTTTAATTAATTCGTTTGTTATTTGTTTTTTTTATTGTATTTCAAATCTGTATTGTGTGTTTTATTCAAAATTGTACATTTAATAATAAGAATGTTATTAAGTTTATATGTACTTTTTGCTACTGCATAGAAAGACAGAAGAGTCAAAATGATGTCATCACTTCTTATGTTTCAGTGACACAGAACTTACTATTAAAATCAAAATACATGTAATTGAGATGAAAATATTTTCTTTCGTAGGACGGTTTGATAGATCACAGGAACTGGCAGAGCTAGGTAAGTAATAGTTAAGAAATTAGCATTTGCTACTACCGGGTATTGAAGTGAAGTTATTCACTTAAGTTGTTGGTACCCAGTAAGTGTGAATAGAGAAAAGAATCGGCTGAAATACACTGTGGTCAGTTGACCAGCTGATCCCTGACCCCAAATAGGATTGTTTTGTTTTTACAACAGTGATTAACAAAAAAGTAGGCACAGCCGAATATTCAGAGTGTTGTCACGCTGCCACGAGCTAATTGCCATTTATTAATGATCATTATTTACAATACAATAATACAATGTATAAATAACTACACCAAGTACCCTGTAACCGGCACAAAAAGCGGTGTAGAAAAAACCAAAGCTAAAAAAAACCACGTAATGAAGGGGAAAAATAAGCCTGGAAATCTACACCCGCCACATGCTGAATGCGCCTGAGGGAGGGCGGCGGGTTTCACCCTTATATATTCTAAGCGAAAAAACAAAATATGCATGCTCCCCAAAAGCTCTTGAAATGCTAGAAAATAATTAAAAAATAAATACACACTTGACGAGCTGCTGGCTGTGATGTGGCAACGCCTAGACTGACCAAGTCACACAATGCACTCCCACAAGCCAATGCGGTATGCCAAATGCGCCCTCTAACAGGTGCCACCAAAACATCTATTTCTGGCTTTACTTCGTAACGCAAGAAATAACATGTGTTGGTTGTTGGATTTTTTTTATAAAGGGGCATTTGTTTTTCTTTATTAGGTACAGTGAGTGGTTATGTTTTTACATGTAGCAAAATATAGTTTCTCTGAGGCGCATCTATCATTTGTTTTTTCAACCCACTGATCTCTAAATACTTAAAACTTTATTTCAAGAAACATGACACATAGAAATGTACTGATCATACATAATTGTATATTATCATACTATCTCAGGCTAATTTGCCATTTTAAACTACATTTATCTTAATTTTCTTTAACTTTTTATTTTTGTTACTGTTTTTAAAATTTATTACATATAACAGCCTAAAATGATTTGTTAACTTTCGTTATGGTGTAATAAATGAAATTATTATTATTATTTAATTATTATTATTATTACCGGGTATGTTTACATTTCTATCCTGCAAATATTTCATTTTCACTCTTCTATTCTGGGTTGTGAATATTCATTTTTTTGTTTACTCCTGTCAGTTAGTAGCACCTTACCCAATATATCACTAGAATTCTATGTATTACCGGGGTATATAAATATAGATTCTAGAGTGCCATCATGGTCATTTGCACATCCAGATTAGACACAATCCATCATGGTGCTCATGAAGTATCAGTAGATTATATCGTCACAGTGTACTCACAATGCTTTACTTTCATTCTCTCATTAATTAATTATTAATTATATATGTTGTGGCTTCATATATTATATGATACAATTATAATCAGGGGTTTTCCTAGAAAAAAATAACAAGGGGAGCACATATAGGCGAGGGAGCAGAGCGAGAATAGCTAGCACAGAAACAACATGTCGGATCGACCTGGAAACACCATATCGGAAGGTTTCTGCATCGTTTCAACGGTGTATCTATCGCCATCGAAATATTTTTGGAGTAATTTTAGTGTATTTGGTGTCCAGACACATTGTCAGCTGGTGTTGCTGGGAAGTTTTCACGGAGAAAAATATATTTGAGAAAGATTTCATGTATGGCAGCACAGAAGTGCGCGGCTCAAGAAATATATTTACGACTTGAAAGTTTAATCAGCAATTCAGTAAGAGGGCACCTGCCGAAAGTATCAGGACACTGCGTCCCTGTTCCCTGGTTTAAAAAAAACCTGATAATTATAGATTTTTCTAATTTGGTTATTCATCTATCTTTGATTTGTTTCAGTGTATGCGTCATCAAGTTTATTAGTTTATATTAACGACAATATTCTCAGAAGAGCATCAAAGCTTAAACTAAAACTGGTAAGAGACAGACATGGACAATGTAAACTGAAGAATATCCACTTTGTTAAAACAGAATAAAAAAGAAAATTCCATTAAAAGTTGCTGTTGTATTTTATACTTTGTGCCTTGTACAGATAACGTATTTCTGTGATCAAACTGTTACAGTCACTTTGCAAGTCCCATTTACCGTAAATGAAAAAGCAACCCAACTAGCAGCACTGCATTATAGCTGACTGTTTTGTAAACAAATAACAATGTTTATAGTTAAAATGGAACAGTTTTTTTATGGTACTGGACTACCGGTATTCTGATAATAATAATAATAATAATAACTTTATTGCCTCCGTGAAAAAAAATTTACATATGATAAGTACAGGAAAAAAGAGTTTTAAAATAATAACAAGATATATGTGAGAATTGTACAAAAAACAAACAAACTTAACTAGTATTTAAATGTTAAATAAATCTTTTTGTTGTGTAAATATAATTGGCAAGTTCTATAATTATGCCAGGATCTTTGCTTGAGAGTATATATGTGAACTGTATATTTTTATTGTTTCGATGAAAGTAGTGTCATAATTTTTTGGATGAAATTTTCCCTGTGTGTGTTATATTTAGGGCAATTCAATAGTGAATGTTGCTGCTGAGCTATATTACAATTCTACTGGTTGGATTGCTTTTTTTTGTTTACATTAAATGATAGATTTAAAGGGTGCTGTGTTAGAAACTATCACTATGGTGATAGTATTATGTAATCTGTGAACAATATTTTGCAGTGGCAGGGTAAGAAATGCTCAAGTACTTGGCATTTAATGAAAGAATTGTTTTTATCTGTAGCCACCACGCTCACAATATCGTTTGATGTCTTGGCTAACTATGATAGAATATATTGAAGTATTTGTTGAAATAGCAGCTAAGCGATTATGGGGAGAAACTGGTAGATGGATTGTTATTGTTATTATTCAGTTAATAAAGTAAGTACTGCTTGAAGTCTAGACAACTGTAGTTGAGTCCAACTTATTATCTGAAAATTATTGTTACATTACTTTGTTTTGTCGTAATTTGTTCACCAGTAGATAGATAGATAGAATTGTTTATTTGGAACGTACCAATGAAATCTTGAGTAAAGTCCAAAAATATCAATAACAAAACAAAACGTTCAGAACAACTAAAACTTACAGTACTAAAACATATCAAGAACATAGAAAATAAATTTTGCAAAAATGCTAAGAATGAAAAAATCATTACTTGAAACAATAATAGGAAATAATTCATCCATGCTATAAAATTGTCTGATTACAAATGTCGCTCGCTGATCAACACTATCTCATGACACCGCTGATGCAAGTTATTTTATTAAGACTCACATATATGTAAATAATATTTAACAGCAGCAGGTTCAGATCAGATGCTTCAGATCTTCTATCATTTGGTGTTACAAGTATTGAATGTCTGAACAAATATATTGTGGATGCTCTAAGTATCATTCAGTATGGAGAGTGGACTAACACTGTAGTGGTTTCCAAAATAAATTTGCAGGTGATAATGTTCAACCAAGCCTGGCTACATGTCTCTATTATAGTGTAGTAAATTTCCATAATGCAAATATGTGGAGATAGTCGCGTAGCCCTGACATGATACTCTCTATGTTTGCAGGGCTACCCTGAGAGCAACATTGTTAGTTGTTGAAAAAGTTGGTATCCAGTCTTTGCCTCCACTATTTCCACTGAATCGTGAGAAAGACATACATATACCTGAGAACGGTGACTCAATAGAAGAGGATGAACTCACTCAGTCAGGCATTGATGAACAAAATGAAACCTATGAAGATTTTGAACAAATATACAGAGAATGTGATGAAAATAAAGAGGATGAGAAAAACAAAGCAGCAACATTTGTTGGTAAAAGGTCTGGAAGAGTAGTGAGGACTTTAAATGCTGGTTAGTTTTAATTTTAATCATATATTGGGATAAGTGCACTCATTAGTACATAACATTGAACTCATAGTTACTGCTAAAGCACAGAAATAATACAGAATATAATAATATGTATGGTAAATAACGAACTAACAAGATTAAACGCATGCTCTAAATTGCCTCCCCACATTCCACAGCACACCTTCTTCTTGGCCAGCGGGCATTTTTTCGTAGCATTGTAAAACCTTATTCTGAAATTTCATCTTGACTCAATGAATCAAGAAATATTTTTCTGCTTCCAGTGCCTAGTGCTGGAATCCAGTTCAAAAGAATTTTGTTATTTGATACATTTTTTCATCTGATCATTTTATTCATCAATTCTCAGCTCCCCCACTACTCAATAGGACATGGAATTTGCCGTCAACTGAAACCACTGAAAAAGAAGAACCCTGGTCTAAATATCTACCACCAACAGAACTTAGCAAAAACCGAATTATAGGAGAGAGTTTGTACATTGCTAGACCACTTATACATTGTATCCTTTGGGTCTGGTTGGCGACTGTTGTTATGAACCAGCTGTCTGTATTCTATATTTAGTAATGCCCAGTTGTCCAACCCCTTTCTTTTCTTTTGCTGAAATGTGTGTGTGTTCAGTCAGGACCAAGTCTGCACGTCTTGAAAAAAGGTTTGATTTAAATTACTTGTGTTTGGTAATGACGGAAATAAGTGTAATATTCAAATTGTATGTCATTTGCTCAGTCAAAAACAAAGTTGTCAGTCAATTAAAAGCATATTTGTTTCGTTGCTGCTCCAATATTTCTGAGTCTCTGTGAGAGACCATTGATAATGAAAACATGCACACAGTGAATAATCTCTTTGCTAAGAATGAAAAGTAGGTGTACAAAAAACAATCTCTTTGCTTACAAAGAAGGGGTTCAAGGTGATTTCAATTACTATGTGCAAAAAGCACTGTTGTTTTATATACTTTTAAAGTAACTTTATGGGGAGAAAGGAAGAGGTTGAATGTAGAACGAAGAGATTATTTCTGCTGTGCACATGTTTACATGTTTTAATTATTGACGATGGCTTCTGAGATGTATTGTCTTACAATATTATAGTGTTTTATTTCCTATATATCCATGTATTTCATAATCAAAGTGGCATCTATGTTTAAATTTGGGCAGTATTCATGGAAACCATGGTTACTGTCATGTGGTTTGGATCTATCAAGGTATGTCTGTCTCTTATCATGTATGTCTGTCTGTCTGTCTTTTATTTTGTCATGTTCTTTTATATTTTATATATATTCTGTGCTACATACAGATATACTTACATATCACAGTATTTTAATATTTCTTATAATTGTCTAGTATTTTTGTCGTTCATCAATTTTGAGTTCTTTTTTAAATAAATTTTTACATTTCATGTACTCTTATTATTTACTTTATTAATCTGAAGACCTAAAAAGAAATGTTAACTCTTTCTTTACGGTATTAATAAAGCATTATTCTATTCTATTCTATTCTATTCTATTCTATTCTATTCTATTCTATTCTATTCTATTCTATTCTATTCTATTCTATTCTATTCTATTCTATTCTATTCTATTCTATTCTATTCTTATCAATTCTAAACTGCTTACATTGTTTTTTTATCTTTAACTAAATGACATCCATGCTTTTTTTTCACTGTATGTGAAGTTAAAAAAACTACTTGTTGATTGATGAAAGTCTGGTTACATTACTCACTAAGTATACTGCATATGCATTGTTTTCCTAGTCTCCTGCTAATGGGCAATTCAAAGGACTTGAATGTCAATGAAAAAGCAGAACTTCGTAGACGGTCTATTTTCCTCTTGTACTATCTACTTCGCTCACCATTTTATGACCGATATTCAAAGTAAGTTGATTTGTTACTCTTTTAATTGAAAGTTGTTCAAAAATAACTTTGAAAGTGTTTCTGAAGGGTTGGATCTTGAGCATCAAAGCCAACTTCAGGCACCATCTACAAAATAGTTCTATTTATAGTCTGCTCCTTTCCACATTCAATTTTGCAAAAAATTAAATTTTTTCTATCAAACACTAGAATCAATTTTGTTTGATTCAAAAATAAGAATGAATTTAAAAAAAAAAAAATTGGCACTCAATAGGTTAAAGGTGAAATAACTTTGTTTCTTTTCCCTAATTTCAAATTTATATAATTATTCACATCACCTTTGTATTAAAAGTTTTCAAAAAAAATGTTAGGACAATCATTGTCCAAACATCTTTGTTTGATAACACATCAAGTTCATGGGGCTATAGATGATATATGTACGTTATGGGTAACTTAGTCGTATGTGAATAACACAAAATACAACTTGATTGCTGTGGTATATGTATGGCATTCAAAATTAAACAAGTTATGAAAGAATAAAAATAAAATTCAGAGTGAAATACTCTCTGTATTTACTGCAAATGTTGATTTATTTGATAAAATCCTGGAGTTATTGGTATGATTCTTCATATTATCCCTATGCAATGTATTATTCTATGCTAGTAATTTGACTTTTTGTGAATTTATTCTAGAGCCAGAATATTACTAGCTTTACAAGGGTTATCTGACAAAGTGCCATTGATGGGGTTGATTGCCAGTAAGTATTTTACTTTAACTGTTTGATTGACGGTTTCAACACGAGTAGTCACTCATAACATGATG